CCCTCTTGGGCTTCGTCTGGCGCCGTGGAAGGAACTCGTGGCTAGGGAATACCCTCTCCAGGAGATGTGAACTGATAAGCGTCCCCCACTTTGTGAATGACCCCTATCCTCTCAAGGCTGCGCAAGTTCAAAGTCTCAAGCTCGCGAGCCAAAATAGGCTTATACTCCTTATCGAGATCGAGGACTCCCAAGCGGGTGGCCAAATAAGTAATGAGGGATCCCATAATCAAGGGCTTATGGCGCTTACTAAGGATGGACTGTAACTAAGAGGCCATCCAGCAACCAAAATTTACCTAAACCCGATTACGCATGCACCAGAGGAAATAAAACTCGGCCTTGGCAAGAATGCTGGAAGAATCCTTCCGACCCGAGAAGTTATAGGCCAGAAACCGATGAATAACCTTCAGCACCGGATCTTTAAGATACGAGGCCTTGGACTGACTCGGATAGTAGAGTTGCCTGTCAGTAGACCACTCCCGCCAGATCTCGATGTAGTAAGTGGCGAAAGGGCGGGTGTAGTCGCACGCGCTATTGATATAAGCGTTGGAGGCGATGGTGTCCTCACTCACAAAGCCCAACAACAAATTAAATTCATTGATAGAATGGGACTGCGGGATGCCTCTCAGACGATACGTGATGACCCCCGGGGAATCTAAGACGAGATTAGCGGACCGCTTCAACTCAAAAGTGGCATAGAACTCAAAGCAGAGCTCCTCATACGCTGGACAGTCAATAACCAGGAACTTACCCCACCCTATGACAGTAAACAACTGCTCCACCTCCCGAGCAATATTTAACTGGTCGAGAGTTGGGAGATGGAAACATTTGCACGAAACGAACGGATAGGGCACCAATGAGTTCAAGCGCTGTTGTTGCTCCGGATTGAGGTCCTTCAGAGGTTCCCCCCATACTCCAGGAGACAAAGTACTCCTGGACAGTCCCAAACGGGACCGAGTAGGGGGTTGGACCGGGGCCCGCCTCTTACGGGGGTTGGACGGGGGTAGCACCTTGCTTTGGAGGCATAGGGGTAAATAAGACAATTCCAAAGGCAGAGAGTGACAAAGAAATGCAAAATGGAGGCAGGGGACCACAAATACACTACCCACAGTCAACAGTCAACAAATAAAACAAGAATAGATAACAGAGCGCCCACTAGTGTGCTTGTGACAATGAAAAGGAAAGAAAAGCAGCCAAGAAATCCCAAAATAGCAGTCAACAGGCAACTATCCCAGACCAATAGACGAGTCACAAACCCACAAGTATCAAATAATTAGCCCCACCACCCCAAATCGAAGTCACCAGGAACTAAAAGAGGAAAGTAGGAGTACCACTGAATCACGCTGTGAGGAACGGCCACGGCGAGGGGAGACCGCGCGACGACACGTGAGCTGCGTGCGACTGGCCTGGGAGATGGGACGCGGCCCGGTGGCTGGCGCGCTGCAGTAGGCACAGATCTAGAATGGCTGCAGCGAAAGCGGCGTTACAGAGCCGGTTCGCGACTCGGGCCGAGCGGGTGGTGAGTAAGCGGAGTGGGTGGTGGCCGTGGGTATGGCGGCGCAAGAGAACCGCGGCAGAGGGCAGGGGTCGCGGCGTGCGAGTGCGGCGTCAACGGGTGCGATCTGGACCAGAGGTCGGAAGCCGTGGCGTCGGCAGGCACGCAGCGAGCGCGTCGTTGATGGCAGCGAGGGGGCGGCGGCTGTGGGTATGGGGCGTGGCGTGCGTGCTTGGGATGGCGACGGCTGGGAGATCGGGTCAAGGATTGGGGTAGAATAAGGAAGACCAAAAAGGAAAAGACAAAGAAAAGAATGAGAAAAGTGGGAAAAGTAAGGGGAAGTAGGAAAAAATTGTGGGGCACTGTTGGGGTAGCGTGGACACGCCTTGGAGTGGAGAGTCATCTGACCAAGGGCTTGGAGCATGGCCAATGTGAGATGTTGTTCGGCGTGGGCATGCCTTGGAACCGAAAGTTAAGTGGGCACCACTGTCGTGGAACTGGGCATCGGACTGCACCATGTAGAGCGTGGGCATGCCTTGAAAGTGTAAGTCCTCTGTTCACCAGCTGATACAAAAGTCAATGTGTGGTGAATTCAAGGCGCAGGCACGCCATGTAACGTAAAGTCGTCTGCTCCAAAATTTGTGCCCCTAACCTTATACAAAACTGTACCGAGCACATCCAAAGCCTACAAAACAGGTCGTTCATCAATAGGTCTCCTAAGAACTTGATTTAAAACACACAAACAAGGAATAAGAACTCAAGAAACGATTAAAAGATGAAACTCTTGGGTTGCCTCCCAAGCAATGCCTCTATTTAACGTCTGTGGCCAGACGATGGGGAGATCAACACTTAATTAGAACTGGGTCGAGTAGATGGACTTCCTCCACAGTACCAATTTCTGAAATATCCAAAAATGGCTTGAGACGATGGCCATTCACCTTAAAACTCTTGTCAGTCTCTAGAATCCTAATCTAAACCGCACCATTCGGAAACATGTTGACAACAACATACGGTCCAATCCACCGGGACAGCAACTTACCTGGCATAAATTTCAACCGTGAGTTAAATAGAAGCACCTTCTGCCCTATAGAGAAATGCTTAATGCGCACAAATTGATCATGAAAAGATTTCTGCGCTTTTTGTATAGTCGGGCATTGTCATAGGCGTCCAAACAGATTTCCTCCAACTCCTGAAGTTGGAGTCTCCTTTCCTTTCCAGCTCTATCCGTGTTTAAATTGCACTGTTTAACTGCCCAAAATGCCCGATGTTCAACAGCCACAGGTAGATGACACATTTTACTGAAAACCAGCCTATACGGAGACATTCCGATTGGTGTCTTATATGCCGTACGATACGCCCATAGTGCATCATCCAATCGGGTACTCTAATCCTTACGACTTGGGTTGACCGTTTTCTCCAAGATACTCTTGACCTTTCGATTAGAGACCTCAACTTGCCCATTAGTCTGTAGGTGGTAGGCCGTACTAACTCGATGATGAACCCCATACTTACGCATTAGGGTTTCAATGGTGCGATTACAGAAGTGAGTGCCTTACTCACTGATGATTGCCCTGGGTACTCCGAACCTGCTAAAAATATGGGACTTGAGAAATCCTGCAACAACTCGTGAATTATTAGTTCGGGTAGCTTTTGCTTCTACCAATTTGGACACATAGTCAACGGCTAGCAAGATATAAAGAAACCCGAAAAAGCTAGGAAAAGGTCCCATAAAATCCATGCCCCACACATAAAAAATTTCACAAAACAGCATGGGGACTTAGGGCATTTCATCCCGGTGAGATAAACTCCCAGACTTTTGACATTTTTCACAGTTTTTACAGAACACATAAGCATCGCGAAACAAGGTTTGCCAATAGAATCCACAGTCAAGAATTTTTCTTGCCATTCTCTTAGGACCAAAATGGCCACCACAGGCATAATTGTGACAATGAGCAAGTATAGAGGGAATTTCCCCCTGTGGAACACATCGCCGAATAATTTGATCAGAGCCTATTTTCCATAGATAGGGCTCATCCCAAATGTAATATCGGGAGTCCTGGACAATTTTATCCCTTTTACTCTTACTCATACCCCTTGGAAATTTATGATTTACTAGAAAATTAACAATATCAGCATACTATGGTTCCTCCCCTCTAAACTGAAACAAGTGCTCATCTGGAAATACCTCGGATATGGGTGCCCCTTCTTCCTCTCTGATCAACTGGCTCAGGTGGTCTGCTACTAAATTGTCCACCCCTTTGTGATCTTTGATCTCCCAGTCAAACTCTTGTAGCAGAAGTATCCAACAAATGAGTCTTGGTTTGGATTCTTTTTTCGCCAAAAGGTATTTCAACGCTGCGTGGTCAGAAAAAATCGTTACTTTTGACCCTAATAGATAGGATCTGAAATTTTCAAACGCAAAAACAATGGCTAAAAGCTCCTTCTCTGTGGTAGTGTAGTTGTGTTGGGCTTGCGACAGTGTCTTTGAAGCATAGTAGATGACATGGCTACACTTTCCACTTCGTTGACCGAGTACAGCTCCCACTGCATATTGACTGGCATCGCACATTAGCTCAAAGGGTAAGTTCCAGTCCGAGGGTTGGATAATCGGTGCGGTGGTCAACATGCTCTTCAATGCATCAAAAGATAATCTACAAGCCTCCCCAAAGTCGAATGTCACATCCTTCTGAAGTAGTTTGGACAATGGGTGTGCGATTCGTGAGAAGTCCTTTATGAAGTGTCTGTAGAATCCTGCATGACCAAGAAAACTATGGATCTCTTTAACGTTAGTAGGGTAAGGTAAGGTAGTAATCAAGTCAACATTCGCTTTATCTACCTCAATACCCCTAGATGACACAACGTGTCCCAAAACAATACCTTCCTTGACCATAAAGTGACATTTCTCATAATTGAGGACTAAATTCGTCTCAATGCACCGTTGTAAAACCTTTGTCAAATCGTGTAGGCATTAATCAAAAGAATCACCATAAATTGTGAAATCATCCATAAATATTTCTATACAATTTTCAATCATATCAGAGAAAATACTCATCATGCACCTTTGAAATGTCCCTGGGGCGTTACACAGTCCAAAAGGCATACGACAGTAAGCAAATGTGCCAAAAGGACAAGTGAAAGTGATTTTGTGCTGGTCCTCTTGAGCAACAGTGATTTGATAATATCCAGAGTAACCATCTAGAAAGCAGAAGAAGCACTTACCTGCCAATCGCTCGAGCATCTCGTCGATGAATGGCAACGGAAAATGATCCTTCCTGGTGGCCGCGTTTAACTTCCTGAAGTCTATACACATTCGCCATCCGTTCTGAAGTCTTATAGGCACCAACTCGTTCTTCTCATTCCGTACAAGTGTAATGCCGGTCTTCTTAGGTACGACATGCACTGGACTCACCCACTCATTATTAGAAATAGGAAAAATTATTCCTAGCTCCAACAACTTGAGAATCTCCTTCATAACTACTTCTTTCATTGCTGGGTTGAGTTTTCTCTGTCATTCTCTTACCGATTTCGCCTCTAGCTCAAGGAGGATATGGTGCATGCAAACAGAGAGGTTGATGCCCTTGATATCTGCCAACATCCATCCTATTGCTGGTTTAGTCTCCCGCAAAACTCGTAGGAGTTTTTCTTGTTGCATCTCGGTCAAATCATTCGCAATGATGACCGGTAGAGTGTTGTGATCTTCAAGATAGGCGTACTTCAGGTGTTTTGACAATTCCTTCAACTCCAACTCGGGCGTCTATTCCACAGAAGGCAAAATCCTCTCAGTAGATGTGGGTAAGGGCAAGAACGCGTCTACTAACTGTCGGGAAATACCGGAAGAGAGTGCAGTGACATGATGGCTTCTAAAATCTTCTCCTCATCCTTACTCTCCACGTCAGTGGTCGTCTTGCTATGTTGTAGCACGAACTCCAGCTTGTCTTCCATGAGATTCTGCTCAAGAAAATATTGGACAGTGGATTAGCAATACCAACACAGTTAATAGACTCGGTATCATCGGGGTATTTCATTGCATCAAAAATGTTAAACGTGATTGTTTCCCCGTCAAACTCCACAGACAGGGTATTTTCATGCACATCTATCTTAGTCCTACCTGTACTCATGAAGGGTCTACCTAGAAGGAGTACAGCTGAGCTAACTAAGTTATCATCATTCATGTCAACAATGTAAAAATCAGCAGGGAAGATAAACTCATTCACTTTTACTAAGACATCTTCAACTACATCCTCGGAGTAGACATTGGACCTGTCTGCTAGTTGAATCACCACTCCTGTCTCCTTCAGGGATCCCAAGTTTAAGGCTTTAAATATAGACAGAGGCATAACATTGATAGACGCTCCCAGATCAAGCATGCCTCTTTCTATTCTCTTTTGACCTATAATGCATGGTATGGTGAACATACTTTGATCCTTGCATTTCTGTGGCAACTTCTTCTGGAGGACTGCCGACACATTCTCACCTACCCTTACTTTGTCCTGGAAGTTCAACTTCTTCCGGTTGGTGCACAGCTCCTTTAGAAACCTTGCATACTTCGGCAGTTGCCTAATCGCCTCCAGTAAGGGAATGTTAATCTCTATTTTCCTGAACGTGTCCAAAATCTCCTTCTCTGACTCCTCTTTCTTCGCTTTGGTGAACCTGCCAGGAAAAGGAGGGTTTATGTCAGAGGTCTTAGGAATACGCGGTGGGGTGCTTACCTCTTCTTGTTCAGGTTCCTCGGTCACTTGTTCCTTCCCATTTCTTGTTGCTTCCGGTTTGGTAGGGTGAATCTCCTTTCCATTTCGCAGGAGCATTGCACTCGCATTCTCCTTGGGATTGGGGATTACCTGAGATGGTAGTTTTCTCTTGCTATTCTCGAAATTGCTCATTGAGGACGCTAGTTGGGATATCTGCGCCTCCAAGGATCTCATGCCGGCGCGTGTCTCTTGTTCAAACCTTTGTTGGTCCTGCCACATTTGACAAGTGCTCTCAGCTAACGATTTAACCATATCTTCTAGGGACATACCAATCTGAGATGTAGACGGCTATTGTATTGGCGATTTCTGTGTAAATGGTTGTTGGAAGCCCGAAGATTTTTGACCATAGCTGAAGTTGGGGTGGTTCTGCCACCCTGGATTGTATGTGGGTGCGTAAGGGTCATTTCTTCTTAGGTGGGCTCCAGACATACCACCCATGGCATTGGCCTGCTCGTACGGATCCTCTTGAAGAGTTGGGCACATGTTGGTTGTATGTTCGGGGGCCGCACATATCCCACATGTTTTTACGGTTTGAGCCTTCCCCATTGCCATCTGTCGAACCAAAGTTGTTAGCTCCATTAACTGATGTGCCAGGTCAGCATGATTGACCTCATTGACTCTCCTAGTCATGCCCTCAGACCGGGTCCCAAACTGCTGAGAGTTCTCAGCTATGTTTGAAATCAACAGTTTGGCTTCGTCTGGGGTTTTATTAACCAAAGCTCCTCCACTGGCTGCATCCACCATACTCCTATCCATGGGTTGGAGTCCCTCGTAGAAATACTGGATTAACAGTTGGTCAGGAATTTGATGATGGGGGCAACTGGCACACAGTTGTTTGAACCGCTTCCAATATTCATAGAGAGTCTCTCCATTTGCTTGCCTAACTCCACATATCTCCTTTCTGATGTTGGCGGCCCTGGAGGCTGGGAAGAACTTCTCAAGGAATTGTCGTTTTAATGCTTCCCACGTAGTGATGGACCCCGATGGCAAATAGAACAACCAGTCCTTGGCCTTATCTGCTAAGGAAAACGGGAAGGCACGCGACTTGATTTGTTTCTCAGTGACTCCCTGAGGTCTCATGGTTGAACACACTACATGAAATTCCTTCAAGTGCTTGTGTGGGTCCTCACCTGCAACACTACGAAAAGTGGGTAATAAGTGAATCAAACCAGAATTTAATTCAAATGCCTCCTCAGTGTCAAGGTACGTGATGCACAGAGGCTGTTGGTTAACATCCGGGGTTGCAAGCTCCCTCAAGGTTCTTTGGGCTGCCATTGTTTCGTTGGGTCTAGGCGAATTTGTTTCCAGTTCAATTGATGCGTCACCAAAGTGAAAGTTTTGCTCAAGTTCAGATGATTGTGCTGTTGAGGTTTGTTGCTTTTGCATCTTTGTCTCCTTTATCAACCTCCTGGTGGTTTTCTCGATCTCCGGGTCAAACTCGAGTTTTCCTGTACGAGAAGATCGAGGCATAAAACAAGACTAGAGTAGCCTGTGCAATAAATCACTTCAAGCACTAGGTCCCCGGTAACGGCTCCAAAATTTGGTGGCTGTTAAATAACCAAAGATAAAATTTATAATGACACCTACTCCCAAAACTGAATGAGTATAGTAGTGAGTAGGGTCGTTTCCACAGAGAACTGGTAGATTTATCACACACAGATAATTGGGGGATTTTTAAAAGAGAGAGATAAATGAAACAAATTAAAGACTTAAAATCATTAAACGAACAATCATAATGAATGCAATAACTCAAGAATAAAATAAGCAATTAATTGACACAACCTAGTCAAGGAGATAATTTCGGCACCGATTCACACAATTATCATAGATACCAAGGATATATCACACGTTCACAAATAAATTGATTCTAGCAATTTAGCAACCGCCAAACTCCCAATCTCTCCTTAATTATATGGTAATCCAGAGACGCTCTTAAACCACCCTCTTGTAAATTAGATAACCCCAGAGACCCTCGAAGGACTTAATCTAATCACAGCTTTAGGAATTAGAGAGACCCAATTCTAATTAACAAACACACATGTGGGTTCATTTAAACTAGATTAATTATTCCCACGACTCAGATTAGACTGCTTACAAGGCAATGAAATTGTGTCGTTCGCCACTAATTTAAAACAATCAAGTGATACGTACCCTTGTCCTAATTGACAGTATACTATTCAGACAACTGAACAACTGGCCACATTGATCCAACAAATCCAAACAATAATAGACTATTAAATTAAAGAATAATTAAATACCCACAAACGCAGAATTTAGAATAATAAAAAAATGATCTCACAATTGTTTGTGTTCTGGCCTTTGATTACACCTCAACTAGATAAAGAGATTAGACTTGCCACATAACGACGAAGCAATTCAGAGTTGTCATGGAGATTTTGTTGAACGAAAAACGAAATGAAAGTGATGCGGCCGCTAGGCTACTAGCAATGATAAAAGCAAAAGCAGAGAAAAGAAAAGTCCAAAACCCAGATAATCCCTAGTCTATTGCTGTCTTCTTTATATTGTTTGCGCCGCCGCTTCTTTTGCTTGACTAATTGGAACTTTTCTTTCCAAAAGAAAGCTTCCTTATTTCTCTCCTCAACTTGTTGCCAAAAGGCTGCTTTTTTATTACTCTCCTTTCTCATCTCACACAAGTTCAGAATTTGTTTCCAAAGAAGGGTAGTAATTCCAGGGATAGGACCTGCGGTCCGTCTTTTTCACGCAACTCTGCCCTGTCTGGCGTGGGCACGCCAGAGAAGGCCTAGTCTTCTGGAAATTCACTTCTTTTTGCCACTTTTAACATCACTCGCCTGCAAATAATACAAATACCAAATTTGGGCAAAAATTCAGTGTCTTGCACAATAAGTGACCAAAATTAAGACCAAATACCAATGAATAAACATTCAATTATCACCCTATCAAGAACCATTTACCGAAAATTACCGATTTCAAGCTACCGAATTATCGATTTCAAATTCGATGCTCACCCCTAATATTATGGAGAAGTTTTTTGCTTAATCAGTAGATGTGTCAAGAAACTTAAGATGTTTTTTCCTTCATGCAGTACTGTAACTAAAGATGTTTCTTGAAATTTCATGCACGATGGATGCATGCTGATGTTTTCTGGAAATTTCATTAACTTCCGTTAAAAATATGCATGAATGCATTAGCAAATATGAACTGTAATGATATCAGAAATACCAGTACTTTTGGCAACTGGTCCAATTCTCCAACTTGCATGTGATAAACTTACATGTCTCTGATATGGATATTATCCCTGCTGATGAAGAGAATAACTTAGTAAATCCAACTACTGTGAACATGCAAGATACTGTGGTTATTAGTAAACAGAATAAAAAGACAGTAGCAGTAGAGGTTGATATCTCAGATGATGAGTATGGAGACTCTAGTTCTAATTCTTCATGGAGACACAATCTGCATAGTGACAATGAGGATGAATTAGTTCTAGATAGGGTCTCAAATGATGATAGTGAGGACAGTGATACTAATTTTTCTGATTTTGAAGACAATGAAGCAGAAATTCTGGTTCCTGATTCTGAAAGTGAAGAAAGGGATGATCCTATAAGACAATTAATGAGATCAAAGATGTGGATTTACAATCCTAAAGATGACATAGAGTTTGAGAAAGGTCAATTATTCACCAATGTGGATGCATTTAGGGCTGTCTTGAAAGATTATGTTATTCAAAAAGGCTTTCCGCTTCTGAGATTGAAAAATGAGAGATCTAGAGTGACTGCTATCTGCAATGCTGAGAGATGCAAGTGGAAAATACATGCATCACCAGTGGCTGATAATATCACTTTTCAGATTAAAAGTTACCAACCACAGCACACTTGTGTGATGGATAAACACTGTGCTGAAGCCACATCTGATTGGATGGTCAAGAAGCTGGTTAGTGTCATGAGAGATCATCCTAATATGACCAGCAAAGGTGTAAAGGCAGAGTTGAGGAAGTATGGTGTGAAGCAAAGTAAAATACAGATTTTCAGATCTAAGAACAAAGCACTTAATGAAATAGAAAACACACATGCTGAATCTTATTCTAAACTTCCAAAATATGCTGAACTGTTAAAGAACAATAATCCCAACAACATTTGTAAAATACATTATGATATACCAAATCTGTTAGTTGAGCCTAAATTTTTGAGAATATTAATTAGCTTTAGAGCTCAAAAGCTGGGATTCCTAGAAGGTTGTAGGCCTTTTGTGGGATTTGATGGATGTTTTTTAAAGGGTCCATTTGAAGGTGTGCTTCTCATAGCAGTTGCTTTGGATGCAAACAACAGCATATTTCCAATAATATTTGCTATAACTGAATGTGAGAACAAGGATACTTGGATGTGGTTTTTCTACTACTTTCAAGAGTTTTTTGGATCCTTTAACAACAACATCCCTTTAACTTTCATGAGTGATAGGCAGAAGGGATTGAATCTTGCTTATGAGGAGATATTTTCTGATGCAACTGGGCGGCATTGTTGTAGGCATATATGCAACAATTTCAAGTCTCAATTTCTAGGAATATTACTTAGAAGTTTCTTTTGGAAGGCAGCAAAAAGTTATGATGTTGTTGGCTATAATGAAGCAATAGCAAGTATTAAAGATATTAACATTGCTGCTTGGAGATATCTGGATAAAATTCCAAGAAGTTCCTGGTGTAGGCATGTCTTCTCATCTCAACTTAAGTGTGAACACGTTGCAAATAATTTCACTGAATCCTTTAATAATTAGGTTGGTGATCTTAGAGAAAAGCCTATACTGACATTAGTGGATGGTTTGAGGAGAAAGTTCATGAAAAAGTTACACGAGATACCAGAAAGGTTTCACTATGACTGCTAATATCACTCCTAGGATTGCTGAGAAACTCACCGAAATTAGCCAAGCATCAAGAAAATGTGAGATACATATGGCTAGTGAAGACACATTCGAGATTGGTGATCTGGACAGAAGCTACATAGTTAATCTCAACAAAAGAATATGTGATTGTGGTGCTTTTCAGATATCTGGAATTCCGTGTAAACATGCAGCACTAGGAATTATGTACAGGAGAGAAAATTTGGAATATTATTGTGAAGCCTGGTTCACAAAGGACGTGTATTTGAAAGCATACTCAGCAGTGATTCATCCTATTTCTGATATGAAAAGGTGGCCTGCTATGCCTGATTTACTCCCAAAAACTATGTTGCCACCTCTTTTGCGAAGAGCTCCTAGTAGACCAAGAGTAAATCGAAGAA